ACACACACACACACACGTACACATATATGGTCAGTTATTTACATCGCAACTTCAATGTTCCATCTCAACCTCTTATGTCTTTAAGTCAAACATCCGGTTTTAATTTTTAGTTTCTTTTAACATAAAACATCTTATGTGATCAAAATGAAGGATGTCGATCATCTCCATAAACATTTACTGAACTAATAATACTTTGAATACTTGCATACTTTCACTGAGTTGTTTGTAGAGGAGTATTTTAACAGCGTGGTATTAGTACTTTTACTGAAGTAAAGAATACTTCCTCCAGACGTACACACGTCACGTACACTCAGTAATAACAGCACAGAGACCGGTTTAGACAAAACACCAAATCTTTAATGAAAGTCACATTTGTCATCCATGAGCACATGAGGAACATTAGTTACACAGGAGAGACGGTAGGACCGCACCACTGGTAGTCACAGGAGCATTCTGGAGAACACTGGATACATCAGCAGAGCAACACGCCACCTTAACAGCTAACCAGCAATACTCAACGGCTACAACACTGCGCCTAGTGCACAAAACAAACACACAAGCAGGATTAGGGTCAAACGATCAAAAGAAAAGAACAAAGAAACAAAGGAAACGCTGTCTGAGAGTAAATGATGTGGTGGGAGGTTAAAGGAGGAGCCGGTAGAATCACTGAGGACTTCAGTGAGACTTAACTCAGGCTTTGTGGTGTGATGACGCAGACCGTCTCTGGTAGATCAGTCTGACATAGAAGATAAACCTACGCGTCCACAGAACCTCCACGTGGACCAAAGCCACTCATTAGCAGAAAGTAACGGTTAAAGACGAACTACTTCATCAATTAGCGATGGAAATAAATCTAAACAGATTTGGAGAATAGTTTGATCGTTTGAGGAAAAAAACTTTATAGACCAAACAAAAGGTCGACAGATGAGTAAAATAATCAGCTGTAGTTCTAGAATGTTTACACATCAGTACAATCCGTTTGCTTTGTGTAATAATTATACTAACTTTGAACTAAAACTGCTTTTAGCCACCACAGAAACGTAAAGGAATCCTCCGCTGTGTTCTAGTGATGAAGTGTAATCACTGAACCTCTCGTTGGGTCACTGAGTTAATCAGGATCCATGTGAGGTCTAAAGAACAGAGCTTCAGGCTGCCGAGAGCAAAGAGAGAAACTGGTACAAACGTAATAACTCGTGTATGATCCGGCATCATGACCCAGATTTTAAAATCATTATGAAAGTAAAATCACAGCACATCAATGAGGTGGACAAAGACTTTTTTTTTTGCGGCCAAATGAATAAAACAAAGTAAAGCATGGAAGACACAATAATAACCTTTGACAGCAGGACACTGTGGCTCAGGTTGATCCAGTCGAGGACTCGGAGCTCTCGGTCTTCACCTGAAAACTGTCACAACAGACAAAGTTAGGATGGAGAACACACAGAGCAGCCATGTGTTTCTGTTCACTCACACTTTAATGGATCGGTTGGTTCCACCGGAATAATGATTATCTACTTTATCAAAGCCTCAAACATCCACAAACATCTCCCTCAACTTCAACTACAATTTCATCCTTCCGCCGTCATCACAGGACTGTTTTGGGCACGCTGCATTTTCCTCCACAGTTATTTTCAACACGTGTACAGCTCCTGCTTTTTGCTTGTTTTAAGTACTGTTAGTGTATTATTATTAGACAGTCAGCCGGTAGAGGGCAGCAGATGAGAGGAATGAGACTCGTTGACTATCTGGTGACGTTTGGGTTCATCTTCGTGCTCTGGATGCAGTTCTTTTTAACTGTAGATGGATTGTTGATTATGTGCATCATTAATCTTTATGGTCATTAGTCGTCTTTTTCTTTTGCACATTAGAAACTGAACATCTTTGAGTTTTGGACCATCGGATGAAACAAGGAGCTTAAAATATCATCCGGGAACCCGTGACGGTCGATTTCTGACCTCACGATTCAACCGGGACAAAACTAAATGTGACTAATCGACAATAATCGTTATTAGCTTGAGTCCAACTGTCATGAAAAGATTCAATAAAGACAAAAGATCAAAGTGAGTTGTGCAGCTTTAATAATCAGCGACCGACAGGAAGCAGTTAGAGGATTAAAAGATGAATTCTGGAGGAAAAGCAAAGCAAACAGCTTCCATTTAGATTTGACATGAGCTGAATGTTGCAGAGTCCTACCTTCTTACTCCACCTGAACATACATTTATGTATTTTGAGTCTTAATGGGAATCCGTCACATTGAAAATGCGTGCAAAGGAAAATGCAACGAGCCGACGGACATTGGGAGGAGAGACAAACCTCAGCGCCCCTCGAGACCTGGAGGACAGTTTGATGTCCCGGTGGACGGACACAGACAGACGTACCTCAACACCAAACCCCAACTCTGCCTGCCTCCACCCTGCTGCACAGCAGCAGGCGGCCTGTGGGCAGCTCACCAGCACCACATCCCTTCTAACTGCTCATACTGCCTCAGCTCAGCTCAAACTCCACTTTAGCAAACAGGATGCCGCAGCTTGGGAAGGAGAGAAGTCCAGATTTTGGTTTACAGGGCTGTTCTTAACAAACACTTTGCTTAGTATTCAGTGAAAAATGACGAGCTTGCACACTGGGTATGACAGAAAAATGTAACCATGGGCTCAGGAAGGTAGGTTGCAGATCAAGTTTTCAGGAAAAAGATGAGTTTTGAGCAACTGGCATTATTTAAAAAAAAAGATGTTTTGTTTGTAGAGCTAGTTAATCTAGACGTAACGGGTCAGACTACCTGCTGGATCGGCTGCTAAAGGGGATCAACTTACCGGCTACAGTCTGTCTCTTGTGCTGGCACTAATGACTTTAAACAGACAATGGAAACAAACAAAAATAAATCTCTTAAATAAATGTCAACGCTCACCTGATTCTGGAGCTCTACGGGGTTTCCCCTCCGTTCTCTGCTGCTGACTTGGGCTGGCTTTTAGATCTCGACCTGGACCCTCTTTTGGAGGAAGGGGTGTGGCTTCTGGACCTCGACTTGGATTTGGATTTGGACTTGGACTTGGATTTGGACCGGGACCTGGAACGAGAGGGGGACTTGGCCTTGGCCTTCTTGTTCCTGGGAGAGTGAGACTTGGACCTGGAGTAGGACCTGGACCTGGATCTGCTGTAGCGGGACCGGCTTCTGGAGCGAGAGCGGCTCCTGGAGCGGGACCGGCTGCGTCTTCTGTTTCTCGGGCTGGGGGAAGAGCTGAATGCATTCAGTGGGTTGAGTTAACATCGACCATGTGGAGATCAGTACAGTGTGGCTGCACTGATGCAGCATATACACTAGCTAAAGACGCACCACACACACACACACACACACACACACACAAAATATACACTAGCTAAAGACGCGCCACACACACACAATATACACTAGATAAAGACACACCACACACACACAATATACACTAGATAAAGACACACCACACACACACAATATACACTAGATAAAGACACTACACAGCATATACACTACATAAAGACACGCTACACACTTACTTTAGACTTAATCTCCGTTTCATTAGATTAACCGGACAGATTAGCTGGAGTTATACTACATCCTAAATCAAGCCGCCTGAAAGTCTGTTGGTGTCTGCTCCTTCTTAATAAATAGCCTTGAACACTACTAAATAATTAGAAATAATATCTGATAAAACAAGTATGGACCAATAAGTAAAGTCGGTATTCAAATGATCCACCAGGAAGATTATTTGAAAGAAAGAAAAACAGAAACTACTTACAACTAACTCCACTTGTTAAAACTGTTATTTTTCTGTATTCAATCTGTGCCGAATTGATAAGTGGATCTCTTAAATTCTCAAAAACACTTTTGTTCCACGAGGAGGAAAGTATCGATCAACAGACCGAGGACTCACTGAATATGCAAATTATTCAATGGAGTCTGGCTAAAGGTTGCTAACTAACTTAGCTATATGTGCGTATCCTTACCTTCTGCTTCTGCGTCCATGGCCGCCACCGCCGCCGCCACCGCCACCACCACCGTACCTCCTGGTAGGCCCTCCTCGTCGGTCGCCTCGTCCTCCTCCACCACCTCCACCACCACCTCCTCCACCTCCACCACCACCTCCTCCGCTGCCACCGTAGTGAGAATCTGGGGGTCTTCCGTAGCGGGCCATCTGGACTCGGAGCTCCCGTCCGTCGAGCAGCGCGCCGTCCATGGCGTCCATCGCGTCCTCGGCGTCACGCTTGTCGTGGAACCGCACGAAGGCGAACCCTCGGCTCTCTTTGGTGTAGCGGTCGCGCGGGATGTAGACGTCCCCCACGCGGCCGTACTTCTCGAACACGCGTCGGAGGGTCTCGGGCGACGTTCGGTACGTCAAGTTGTCCACTTTCAGGGAAGTCATGCCGTCGACGTCTGGCGGAGGCCTACCGTAACTCATGGCGGGTAAAGCTTTTGAGGCCTAGCTGGATTCCTCAAAAACAGTTTATATCTCGGCTACGATGGAGCCTAACCTGTTTGTAGAAGGTCCACGCGCCACCCACACGCGCGTGAGGGTGTAGATTTTAAATGGATTTGCTTCGCCTGTGGAGGACAAAACGCAAAAATACGCGACTTCTTTTTCCCGCACAACTCCGTCTGCCTCGCGCTCATCAACTGCCCCAAACCAGTGAAGTGGTTCTTCTTCTTCTACTTTTAGAATGTGGGCGCTCCTCGGTATCACATTTGCCGCACTTTCGCCCCCTGGTGGAATTACCTAGTAGTGTTTTTAAAAACTTAATAACAAGCAGTGATGAAAGAAGATCCTTTATTTATTAAATAGTCAACTACAAGTAAACGTTATGTATTCAAAACGTTACTAAAGTAAACAGTTTTACTTCCGTATATGGCGTTGTTGTTTTATTTTTAACCGGAAGTAGTTTTAATTATTTGCTAGCTGTAGCCGTTACCCCCAAATTAACAGCTAGTACGTGTTTTTTAAAACAATAATTGATGATGTATTTTAATACAGTTATAAAACCCGAGTGGTTTAAAATCAATGACATTTATTTATGACGTGTAACATACAATTATTAAATAAGTAACCGGAAGTAGAATCTATTTTCCATAAACAAACTAAGCACAACTGCTAGTCACAGCAGTCAGCTGATTCACATCACATGACTGCCCTTTCTAGTTTTGGGCAAGTCCTGTTTAATCGGTGCCGTGAAAGTTGTTCCAGATAATCTGGTTTTACACGACGGGGAACCATCACGTGGAAGTTAGTTTTAGGAGAAGAAGATGACCCGCTGAGGACTTCCGGAAACAGCTGACTATGTTTCTAAGAGCACTCTGAGTCCGCACAAAGAGGAGCGGGTCTGAAGGGGGTTAGCCTGAAAGCTTCAGCGTTGTTGGTAAATTGTTTTCTGTGTCAAAGCTTACAGTGGTTGACTTCCTTTGTCTCTTGGGATCAGTCAGTGTCTCGGTCGTTTCCTCTTCGGTTTAAGAAACAGTAAGACCACCCCCTTTAAGAACTCTGTCAATTAAATGCTCCTTTTCTTATAGGCGGACATAAAGCGGGATAAAGCATACATTTTGGTGGTGTTGTAATCCAAACGATGCACTTTAGAATTCGGCATACAATCTATTTACGAAAAATCCTTATTTTAAGTCTAACTTTTAGTTAAATAATCATGTCCAGGCTGTTATCCACCTAAACACGTTGAGATGGGAACGATGGAAAGCAACGCTATAAAGTTATTTTATGGAAATAAAGTAGATGTTGTGTACATCCACTGTGTGCCGAAATGATCCGTGTGCGCGTTCAAATACAAAACGAATGTCGGACAATTTAAATGTATTGTTAAATGTGTTTAAGTGTGTTTGTGATAAAACAACAGATTTGTGAATGAAGTTTGGTGTAAAAACAAGAGAAAGAGACGCTGTTCTTAATGACTGATGCAGTGAGTGCTTTAATGCTAGTTCTTCTGATTTCTTCTTCTCTTCTCAGATTCTTTTGTGTTGCGTTCACTTCCTCAAGGAGTTTGCAAACATCGTGCAAAATGAGTCCGGAGGGGAAGAATCTGTTGAACATTGTTATCCTGGGCTTCGGCTTTATGTTTATGTTCACTGCTTTTCAAACATGCGGCAACATAGAGGTAGGTTGTGTTTAATGATGAACATTCCCGACTGATCGCACTTCAGATAAGACACATCACGCTGTCCTCTTTCTTCTTCTTTCTAGCAAACAGTTCTCAAGAGCTTCAACAGCACCGAGTTCCACGGGAGTGGATACACAAGGTCAGTATCCACAGGTTCACATTCCATCACCTGACGCTCCGGTACACAACATCTGTGCAGATGTTAGCTGAGCATCAATACAGAGCCGCTTGGTACCTTCTATAATCAAATCTGTGGCACTCAGACATCCTAATTAAATCTTAGGGAAAACCAATTTTAGAAAAGTTCAGCCAGTCGGGAACCCAGAAAACATCGTACATGACCTCAATCTCACCACTTAAGAGAGAGACATCTTTGAAGCGTCTCAGAGAAGTCCCGTACAGATTTAACTGTCCTGTCCCTTGTAGCATGGCCATCATCTACGGGGTTTTCTCTGCCTCCAACATGATCGCCCCCTCAGTGGTGACCGTCATTGGACCGCAGCTGTCCATGTTTTTCAGTGGGCTTCTGTACAGGTGAGCCCACGCCGACCAACACACACCCTCGTCTTTAAAAAAAATGCAAATTCAGACTTCTAACGTCTCTGATGTTGTTGTTCTTTAGCGGCTACATCGCTATGTTCATCTACCCGTACACGTGGAGCTTCTACACAGCCTCCGTGTTGGTTGGAATAGGAGCAGCAGGTACAGAGACCTCATCGAGTGAACGTTTCTACCTCGTGGAACACGTCTGCTCCGCGTTTACAGCTTCTCACTTTTCCTTTGTGTGTTTTTTTAAGTCTTGTGGACGGCTCAGGGGAATGTGCTGACCATCAACTCTACTGATAACACCATTGGAAGGAATAGTGGCATATTCTGGGCGCTGCTGCAGTTCAGGTGAACCCTTTTGAACCAACATGTACCTGAATCTAGTTTGAGGTTTTGTTACAGGGACCTCTTCCTCTGAATGCAGTTTTTTTTTTTTTTTTTTCCCTCCTCGTCTCTCTGCAGCTTATTCTTTGGAAATCTCTACATTTACTGTGCCTGGCATGGACACGTTCACATCACCGGTAGAAGCTGTATTTGATCAAATCTCAATGTGTTTTATTGCTATTCATAGAGTTCACTTCCCATTTTCATAAGATGTTTCATTTTGAGCGCGTGACTCACGCTGTGTGTGTCTCAGACAAGGACCGCCAGACGGTGTTCATCTCCCTCACGGTGATCAGTCTGGTGGGCTGCTTCCTCTTCTTTCTGATCCGGAAGCCTGATCCTGAACCTGCTCCCTCCGGGGCTGCCGAGTCACTGCTGCAGGCCGAGTCCACAGAGAGCTCCTCCGCAGCCAGGTGAGTGTTCACGGGCGGCCTGGAAAGACCTGGGATTTGAAACTGGATATGAATGTGATTATTGCACCCGTATAAATGTCCAAGAAAACAAATATGATGGTGTGAAAGGTCAGTTATATCAGCATCATAGTGTCTTCATCGTCCTCCTCTCTGCAGCTCGGCTCGTCCAGGCCTCTGGTCACAAGCTCTGGATGCTTTTGGTGAGTTTACTAAAAATATCCTCCACTTTAATCTTCAGTGTAACTCCTGTTAAACACCCGCCCTCTTTCTTCTCTTCTTTTTGCAGTGAAAGCGTGTAAAATGTTCGCCACCAAAGAGATGCTGCTGCTGAGTGTCTCCATAGGGTACACAGGTGAGATGAGATTAAGATGTGTGGAGGATGTCACTACTGAGTCTGGACTCATGCGTCTGTCTGCTCTGTCAGGTCTGGAGCTCACGTTCTACAGCGGCGTCTACGGGACGTGTATCGGAGCCATGACGCGCTTCGGCCAAGATGCTAAGAGTCTGATCGGCATCTCTGGCATCTGCATCGGCATCGGAGAGATCCTGGGTGAGTCTTCTGCTTCCCGTTTTCACCTCGTTTCTGACAGTATTCAGATCCTTCTCTGCAGTAAAAAGTCCTGATAACGCACCGTAGAAGTACTCCACTACAAGTAAAAGTGCTGCTCTCAAAACTTTACCAAGTAAAACTATTGATTGATCAGTAAAATTTTTACTATTATTAATGCGTATGTTGTATTGTAACTCCTTTGTATCCTGCTGGTTAGTTTAATCTACATCAAAGCATCATATTCTATAAGATCATCACATGTTTGTAGCGTCTCTGTCCTGTGAGAACCTCGTATCTCTAAAAAGAACCGTTTTACATCTGATCCAAGAGGCTCTTCAGAGAGTTTATTTAGCTGAAGGAGGATTTTCTCACCAGATAAGTAAAAAGTACAATATGTAGTAGAGTGGAACTACAAAGCAGAAAAACATGAAAATACTCATTGAAGTACCTCAGATTTGTTCTTAAATAATTGAGTAAAAGTACTTGATTACTCTCCATCTGTGTTTTATGAATCAGTCTCCTTGTGAGCAGTAGAGGAGACGAGGAAACGACCTGACAAACATCTGGAGTCAGAACATGACTGACTTCCTGTCTCTGCTCCGTCTCAACAGGAGGAAGCGTGTTCGGGATGCTGAACAAGTGCAGCCGGTTTGGGAGGAACCCGGTGGTTCTGCTGGGCCTCATCACTCACTACGTGGCCTTTTACCTCATCTTCCTCAACATCGCCAGCGACGCTCCCATAGCCCCGGAGGAAGGGACGGACCTGCAGGCCTACATCACCCCCAGGTACTAATACGCACACATCACCCCCGGGTACTAGTACTCGCA